CGCCCGAATTCCCCTTTTTGAACTCTGCCTTGCCCCCGGGCCGTCCGCCCGAATTCCCCTTTTTTGAACTCTGCCTTGCCCCCGGGCCGTACGCACGAGACCCGTCCTCCAGACCCCCTCCACCCACCCTGCTGGATTTTTGTTTTTTTGGGGACGTCTGGAATCCGTCCCTTGAGGGGGGGGTTATGTCACGATTCTCATGTTATGTCACGTTTATAGTTTTGTAGGTTTGGGTGTTTTTGCTGTTTTCCATGTCATGTTTTCCTTTGGGTTATTGTCTTGTCATTAGTTTCCCTGGTGTGTCTAATTGTCTGATTATGTTCACCTGGGCCCCTGTGTTTTCTCCTCCCTCCTCACCTGTGTCTTGTTGTGTGATTGGTCTTGTGTGTATTTAAGTTCTGGGTTTTCTGTCTGTCTTGGTCGGTTCGTCTGACTAGTTCTGCGGTGAGTGTTCTGTTTGTCATTGTACATATATATCATAGCCTTGAAATAAGGAAGTTTCAGTTTATATCTGCATTTGGGTCCTGCTTGTTTCACAAACCGTGACAGTATATTCATAATAAAGGGAATAGACATGCAGCACACAAGCCAAGGGTTCAAAAGGTTTTGAGGATGGAATGTTATTTGGAATATTTTATAAACTGGTGGATGATAGAGTTCAGTAAAGGTCACAGTTTGCGTAATGCTCCTTGAAATTAGTTCACTTTATGATCTCTATCTTATTTTCTCTCTTTTCCATCTGTAACGTCACACAGCTCCCCGGTGGAGTCAGTCTTGTTCTATGCCATCACTGCCCTCCACAACCTGCTGCTGCACCAGGAGGGGGCCAAGATGGCGGTGCGTATCGCTGATGGCCTACAGAGGATGGTTCCATTACTGAAGAAGAGTAACCCCAAATTCCTGGCCATCACCACCGACTGTCTGCAGCTCTTGTCTTACGGAAACCAGGAGAGCAAGGTGAGTCCAGGAGCTGGGCTTTGGGGAGGGGAGCTTTGTAATGTCCACACAGTGGCTCAAATTCCGAACCACCCCCAACCACTCCCACTGTACAGAGTGAACTCCGTCTCTCGTCACACTCACAGCTGAATGAGGGTCCTTCTTTCAGGTGGGGGTTGTAAATACATCAGCAAGTTCTCGGACAAACTCCCCTCTCTCCGGCAGAAACAGGAAGTGTCTTAACTTTCATAAGAACAGTTTTAAATTAGCATCTCTTGGACAAAAAAAGTAAGGTGGTGTGTGAGTCAGAACCAATGCAGACGCGCTATTGAAGGGCTTGATAACTTCCGGTTGGAGGGCTTGATAACTTCCTGATGGAGGGCTTGATAACTTCCTGTTGGAGGACTTGACAACCAACTCCCCTTCCCCACTTGTTGGTTCGGAACGGCACTAAATGAGGTAGACTCTCTGCAAACGGAGTGGGTAAGGGTAGGGTGTAGGGGGAGGTTTTGAATTTGGCCATTATTACAAAAATACACCTCCATCTTCCTCTTTTTGGTCAGCTGATCATCCTAGCCAATGGGGGCCCAGAGGGTCTGGTGTACATCATGAGGAACTACAACTATGAGAAGCTGCTGTGGACCACCAGCCGTGTCCTCAAAGTGCTATCCGTCTGTCCCAGCAACAAACCAGCGATCGTAGAGGCTGGTCTGTATACATCAGTAAACATGATTTAAACCCTCAGTGTTTGTCTGTAAACATCTGTTGTAATAAACTTTGATCTGTGTCCAGGAGGGATGCAGGCTTTGGGCCAGCATCTCACAGGCTCCAGTCAGCGTCTGATCCAGAACTGTCTGTGGACGCTCCGCAATCTGTCCGACGCTGCCACCAAGCAGGTACTCATTCACCCTGTACAAATGCTCTATAATACTACTACTACTACTGCTACTGGGAATCAAAGGATGTTAAGGCTGTATTTGTCATATGCACAATATCTACAGCGTAATTTTTGCAATGAAAGTCTTTAGCTCCTCTAACACTGAAAAAAACTGAAACGTTGATTTTAATTAAATGTATTGTACCTAAATTGAAACTATTGCACGCCATAAAAGTAAAATACATACAATATTGCAGTAGAATGCTGCAATAGACAAAATGGTTGAAACTACAAGTACTAAAACGGAATACTTCTACTGAGGAATACTAGTGCTACTACTAACTGAAACGTTGATTTTAATTAAATGTGTTGTACCTAAGTTGAAAGCTGTTGCTTCAACTTAGGTATATCAACATATGATATACCTAACATAAAAGTAAAAGACATAACATATTGCAGTAGAATTCTGCAATAGACAAAATGGTTCAACCACAAGTATCCATCCATCCATCTTTTCCCACTTATCGGGTCGCGGGGGTAGCAGTTCCAGCAGAGAGCCCTAAACTTTCTTTTTCCTGGCCACATCAACCAGCTCTGACTGGGGGATCCCAAGGCGCTCCCAGGCCAGCGAAGAGATATAATCCCTCCACCTGGTCCTAGGTCTACTCCTTGGTCTCTTCCCAGCTGGACGTGCCTGGAACACCTCCCTAGGGAGGCGCCCAGGTGGAATCCTAACTAGGGTGCCCGAACCACCTCAACTGGCTCCTTTCGACGCGAAGGAGGAGCGGTTCAACTCCGAGTCCCTCCCGGATGACTGAACTTCTCATCTTATCCCTAAGGGAGACACCAGCCACCCTGCGGAGAAAACCCATCTCGGCCGCTTGTATCCGCGATCTCATTCTTTCGGTCATGACCCATCCTTCATGACCATAGGTGAGGGTCGGAACGAAAATGGCCTCGGTAGACAGAGAGCTTTGCCTTCTGGCTCAGCTCCCTTTTCCTCACAACGGTTCGGTAAAGCGACTGCAGTACCGCTCCCGCTGCTCCGATTCTCCGGCCCATCTCACGCTCCATTGTTCCCTCATTCGAGAACAAGACCCCGAGATACTTGAACTTCTTCACTTGGGGTAAGGACTCATTCCCTACTTGGAGTGGACAGTCCATCGGTTTCCTGCTGAGAACCATGGCCTCAGATTTGGAGGTGCTGATCCTCATCCCAGCCGCTTCACACTCGGTTGCGAACCGATCCAGTGAGTGCTGAAGGTCGCAGACCGATGAAGCCATCAGAACCACATCATCTGCAAAAAGCAGTGGTGCAATCCTTAGTCCACCGAACTGCAGACCCCCTCCCCCACGACTACGCCTCGAAATCCGATCCATGTATATTACAAACAGGATTGG